GCATATAATTATAATCAGGAAACAGTTTAAATGAAATATTGATTATTTGAAAAACATTTTTCTACTGAATAATCTCCATAACAGATATGGGGACATTATTACAAAGCAAAGATACAAATAAACATCTAATACTTTTGTGTGTATAATTCTCTCTGTTGCAGATATAAACATGTGTGCATGATAAAAAACTAAGATAACTACTCATCAAAGTGTCATTGCTTTCCCTGAAATTCTTGAGTAAATGAAATTCTTTTATAGACACTATTGCCTTCCTTCTGATAAGTATTCAGCCACTTATTACTTCCCACCTTTGTATTGTAAGTCTTTGTGTCTTATCTGTAATGTAAGACTGTGAATTCCTCAAAGTTGTACTTTATTCTCTTTGCATAATCCACAGTAGCTTGAATTGTCCCTTATAGATAGTAGGCATTGTATATATACATATGTGTGTGTCTGGGTGAATGGATGGATGGATAGATGGACGATGAATGGATGGATGGATGGATAAATAAATGGATGGATAACTGGCAAAATATGGATGTGACCGTTTTTATTTTCTTGGGGGATTATTTTTTTTTTTCTCCAAAGAAACATATAGTCATATGATAGTTGATAGTATAAACCACTAAGAATTATGATTGTCCTCATTATAAGTAAAGTAAACAAAAAATAACAAACATAAGAACACTTGAAGTCACATAGTAAATCAAGGGATTTTCTGCATAAGTGTACCAAAACAATGAAGGATGCCTCTAAAACCTTGAGTTTAGCTAAGTAAAACATCCCAGCTAATTTGGAACACTAACTTTCTATATTTTAAAAAACAATTTAGATGAGATTCAGGTTAACAAAGCATAATGGTATAGCCTGTTAAATTAAGAAGGCTTTGCCAAGCATTCTAATAATACCTGATAAGCATTTTGCTTAGCACTATTGAAATATTTGAAATTTTAAGATTTCACCTTTTACTCTTTTTGATTTATAACATTTGACTATTTAGAGAGTGTAAGAAAGAAAAAAACTGTGTTAAATGTTATGACACTTTCTCCCACCCTATTTTTAATTTGAAAATATTCTATTTTAAAAATGTTTATACAAAATTCTAAACCATTATATCAGAATAAAGGATAGGAGGTCATGAGAATAAAATCAATACAGACACACACACACACACACACACACACACACACACATAATGAATACATACATGATTCATGAATATAAAAAGTGCTTTGTAAACTGTAAAGTAAATGATAAATGCTATGATTTTTTAACAGCATGGTAATGCTGAGCTCTGATATTTGGACTGCCTTTCTAATAATTTAAAATACCATTTCTGTCTAGATGAAGTCTCATTATATCACAACTGAAGGGCCAAATTATATTCTCTTTAGACATACCACTGAGTAATCAACTCCCTTCAGAAGAATGTTTTGCCTTAATAATGAAAACATTTTAATAACTAAATTTATTACCCACTGAGTTACTGTCATCATAGCGTTCTAAAACAGACAAAGTTTCTAGACTGAGAAACACAGCTTCTTAACTGATATCCTTCGAGGATAATTTCTTTAAATGTCACCATTCTCAGTGTGTAAAGCTTATAGTTTCTTTTTCCTTCCTGTTTCCCTTTTTCCATACATCTTGTATTCTTTCCTTAATCCCTTCCTTGTTCTTCCTTCTTCCTTCCTCTTTCCTTTATTTTCCCTCACCACCTGGTAAGTATGTATAAACTGCCAGTGTTACACATAAAAGGGATTTCCCAAAGTGCTGGGATTACAGACATGAGCCACCACATCTGACCCAAGTTTATTCATTTTTTTATATATATATATTTTATGTTCTGGGGTACATGTGCAGATCCTGCAGGATTGTTACATAGCTATACGAGACTCCATCTCAAAAAAAAAAAAAAAAAAAAGAATAAACTTGGACCTGTAGTTTAATCAAAAGGCTTAACAAAATAAGCTAAAGGAATGGTCTGATAATCTGAGTCATAAATATAGAATTCTTTTTTGTCCTTAAAAAAAGGGATTTCCCATTTGCTCTCTTTCAACATCTGTGTACTCAAATGATAACATTTTACCCACACTTCTTGAAGGATTCTGTCAAGACTTGTAAAATCAGATTTTCTATCCCAAGAAAAGTAACAGAAAATTTTGCATGAAATATGTACATGCATAGAGGTTTGCTGTGGAGATGCCCTAAGCTAAAGCCATTTTCTCAGTAACATGTCTTCAGTTTATTTTGAAATTAGGTTTAGCATATATGTAGAAATTGGGTATTTTATTTTACAATGTTAAAATGTAACGTCTATGAGTTGTGAGTTTGTTTAAAAAGAGAATTTAATGATTTTTCTCTAGTTGCCTTTATTTGTTTTAACCTATAAATAATATTTTCTGGTTTCTACTCATTCGGTTGCTGGAGTTTTCACAACATCTCAATATAATCTTTTTCAGAATAGAATAACAGTAAAAAAAAAGGCATTAGTCAAGAAATATCATAGGACCTGAGTAACTATTTAGGAAAGCATCTGATACCTGTAATAGTACTTTTCCAAATGTCTATTTGATGAGGGTTCACACAGTTGGCAGGTGTTCCTACAGAGTGTCTTGAGAGAAGGAAAAATGAAACACTAATTGGTTCATTTTTGTTCCAGGAGTGATAAATTCTATAACACCATCAATTGTGCTTATCAAGATGGCTTAAATTATTCATTGATCAGTACAGGGATCTGCAGACAGTGGCAGTCATTTGGAACTCAATAATATTACTAGAAATTCTATATTTTTTTAAACTTCCAGTGATGTATAATGGTTGATTTATTGTTTAAGAAGACTTTGAATATCAGCAAGATACATTTGTTTAATGTTTCAGAAAATGTTATATTCTTTTGGCTAGGATTGGCTTCTAAGTAAAGATTATTTATGAAGGACACATGGTTCCAATTCAAAAGGCCAAAATTATAGTTCTAAGTATATTTATTTTGAAAATAAATTCCATATGTTTAGTCCATAATATTATTTGATTCTTCTCTTTCGATACCTCTTCACAGTGTTTTGGATTTCATTGTGTTGAAAATATCCAAATTTTATAAAGGTCAGAAGCATTATGGAATATACGTCTAATGGTGGACATGCTGCTAAGCTGCAGTCATCTTGGACAAGGAACTTAAATTCTGTGCTTAAATTTTTGTATTATCTAAACACAAAAATAGCAAATGAATCAGATATTATATGTTTTTACAATATATTGTGAACACGTCTAGCCTTAAGGACATTCTCTAAACTCATACCTCCTCTAAGTTTAGATAAGGACCAAGACATTCTATGGGAAAGTAGGAAATTTTGCCATATAAAGAACAATGACAAAAATAATATTTGAACATATTTTTCAACTATGGAAATTATATTTATTGCTTATCAGTGATAATATATTTTTGAAAACTTTGTAAGGACTGTTGCCTATTATTTGTCTATTTAGCATTCATTTGTTTTGGCATGAATTAATGCAATTCATTACAGAAAGATTTATATTCTTGAATATAATTCTTGATTCCCTGGATCTCTGCCTAATCTTGTCTGGGGTCCCTTTATGTATAGAAATAGTTCATATATTAGGTTCAGCATTCTGGTTACCATGCACCCTAGATGAGCTCATTACCCAAGGGTCTGAAGTAACAGCTGCTCCATTCCCCTCCAGCCAGCCCCAAGAAGGGTGTCATGTTTCTCTTTATAGTTTTTCAAAGTTAAAAAGAATATATAAAAGCAATTAAGGAACATTTAAATTTTAAATCAGCAAGCATTTTACTATGTTTTGGGACTTGACCACGCATAACTTATTGTTTAATACAACACACAAACCATTTAATTTGTTAAGATGAGAGAGGCTTAAAATTAAAATGTAATTTCTTAAAGTACTTTAAAATTATCTCCATTACAATTGTAGATAGTAATACTAACTCACAGTATTTCAAAATAAAAGCATATACTTTTATTTGGAAAAACCTCATTGGAACTATTGTTTGTTATTACATGTAAAGCACTTAGAGCAATACTTGGCATATGAGTACCATGTAAGTGAGGCTCTGATTATCATGTGTGTCCTAGGACTTCTGAGTATAGACTTTCACTTTTTTCTTTTCTTCACTCTAATTCAGTAGTTTGCAGAATGTAGTGTATAGTAAGAGTTACTGTATCTAGTTGTATTCAGTAATTTTCAAAGGTAATTCTAGTATTCATGTGTGTATTCATTTTGTGTTGCCTCTATAATATTTTATATTTCAGTGACAGAATTGAAAAGGCTTCACTATAGAAGGCTGAATACAGTTCCAGATGCACAGCAGGATATTGAATAGATTCCATGTGAACAATTAAATCACTCTTCCTGTTTTATGATAAAGTTGGCTTTTCACTCTTCCAAAATGATTTAATTTTTCTGTGATTCTCTCCTGTTGTTTTCCTGTATTCTGCACATTTATTTTGCCTTTGAAAATGAGTTTACTATTTTGTTAAGTGGAGATAACAATGCTTGTTTTTAGAATTTGTTTAAGAATTGGAATTAATATATGTTAATGGTAATTAAAATAATAGTACATGGCATATAAGAGATATTCCATAACTGGTAGATCTGGCTGTCATTTCAGTATTATAATTAAGTTATTCATTAATTTTGTGATATATGTCATTTAATGTGTCACAGACTTTATTCCAAACAATTATTTGAATATCTGCTTTTGCCAGATATGGCTGCCAGATTTGGTTATGTGTTGGCAACTGTATTGGCAAATAAGGTAGAAGAGGTTTCAAATCTCAGAGAGTTTATATTCTATTCAGGAAAAATATTACCTGATATACTTCCTAATAATGCATTTACATTAAGTGTTTGAATTTATTTTTATATAGATGCCTTTAGATTGTTTCATTATGTCACTGACTAGGTTGCCATTGTTACTGCTTTGTAGAAGATTTACTCTAATCACTGTCCTTTTCCTTTGATAGTTCTTTCAAACATTTGATTGGAGGGCTGGATGATGTTTCTAATAAAGCATATGAAGATGCAGAAGCTAAAGCAAAGTAAGTGACTTTTTCCCTTTGGCCTTAATCTTGATTAAAAAATGATTTTGAATAGAAATAAAATCAAATATTTTGTTGGACTTGACAAAGCCCAACATTCTGACAGGACATAACTAATTACTTGAGCGACAAAAGAAGCAAACTCTTCAACATAATTATTATTTGGTATGCTTACTTAGTAGTATGTCACTCTTTAAATACAAAACTTTAATTTTGTAATGAAGATCATCCCAGCAAGAAAAAAAATGCTTATTTACAAATCTAATACAAAAAATTAAATGTAAACATGTTGTCTGTCCTCCAGAAAATACTTCCTGAACAACTGGTGGTTGTATTTCATAGTTGCTTGTGCGATTGTATTAAAAATAATAAAGCTATAAATATTTCCCTGTGCTAATTCATCATTACATTGAACTTTGATGTTACTAACATGAAAATGACAAGAGATGGTAAATATCCCATTAATTATCATGTTGTATAAAAATACAACTCTGTCTATAAGAATAGTTTGATTAAAATATTTTTGGAGAAAGATTTAAAGTAAGTTGATATTAGCTTTTTCTGGAAAATTATTATTTTTAAAATACCAGTAATCTATATAATCTCCCCTCTTTATCCTAATGTAATTATTATTTAATAACATATAGGATACCTAAAGGATTAAATTGACAACAGTGAGCATTAAACAGATAGTTCGGGGCCAGAATTTGATCTGTTGGCTTTCTAGTAATCTGAAAATTAAAAGAAGTAAAATAATTTATTTTGCTCTGAGAATCCATGAAGATGAAAAATTTGCCCTAGAACTAAAATATTGAGAATTATATTCCAACTTAATCCATAAAATTATTTTATTTTCAAAGCTATATTCACAATTTCTCCTCTGTATAGCCCTGAGGTCGAATGCCTGCAGTGTCTCTGCTAAGGTTTGATTAGAAAGTTATACAGGCCAGCTGTAACACCAGACTCCATGCAGTCACTGAGACTGCTTATGTTCTGTATAATTATTATTAATTGTCCTTGTTTATTTCAACAGGCTAAAATGCACATTGATATTCAGTTTATAATTTAGTTTCCAGTATTAATAATAATCCCACCAAGGTGGCAAAGGGGACCACTTAAGGTACTTCATCAGTTTTTAAAGTTATAAAATGCCCTTTGTTATGGTTGGGTTCTTTTCCTAAAGGAATTATTTTGCTATATAACAAAATTCATACTTATAATTTATGTCAGCTTATCTTTACTTATTTGTATGTGTGTGTGTGTGTGTGTGTGTGTGTGTGTGTGTGTGTATTCAGTTAAGGATCTCATTGATCATTTTATATATACATCTCATACATAATTTACATATAATATGTATAATTTTTATATGTAATACAGTTTATATAATTATATAATTATAATCATATTATATAACACTATATGTGTGCATGCATAGATATGTAAAATATATAAAACAACTGATGGTAATCTTAAAAATTCATACACAATTCAGTTAAGTATTCTTAGTTGTCAGAAAAAGTCAAGAGTCTTGTAGACTAATGTATTTTTCCTGTTTCCCTATTAAACTTTGAAGTTTAATCTAATTTTTCCTATTAAACTTTAGAAGATTTTCTAATGAATGTTTTTGTAGAAATCTTATTTATTTCACTTAAAGTTGAGGTCACTAACATGATTCAAATTAATCAGTGATGGGGAAGTGACCAAGTTAGTCCTAGGTTTCTCTGTGTCCTATTGACTTTATAAAGATAACTACGTGTACATCTCCTGAACTCTGGCCATTCATGAATTCACTTGCACATACTTCAATTAAAAGTAGTCAGTAAGACAAACTGAAACAATGAAATTCAGATATTCTGACAATTAGAGGTAGGTATGGCAACAGTTCTTAACATTGGAAGAAAATTGGTCAATGTGAAAAACATGAACCTGAATGAAGGCCAAAAGCCTTGGGTTCTGCTTGTCTCTGTCATTACCAGACAAGTGATTTTGGTCATATATCTTAATGCTTATCTCTCAATCTCAGTTTTTACACTTTTAAAATGGTGTTTTTAAGATTTAATTGATGGCAGTGTGTAAAAATACTTTGTAAATTTTAAAGGCTGTAAAAATATATCACTAGGCTTACACCTGTAATCCTAGCACTTTGGGAGGCTGAGGTGGGCAGATCACCTGAGGTCAGGAGTTTGAGACCAGCCTGTCCAACATGGTGAAATGTTATTGCTACTAAAATTATAAAAATTAGCTGGGTGTGGTAATGGGCACTTATAGTAACAGCTACTCAGGAGGCTGAGGCAGGAGAATCACTTGAACCCAGGAGGTGGAGGTTGCAGTAAGCCAATATCGTGTCATTACACTCCAGCCTGGGTGACCAGAGTAAAACTCTATCTCAAAAATAAATAAATAAAATATATCACTAGAAATAACTAGAAACATACTTCAGTACATTTGATATGTAATTGAATTTACAGATTCCATATCTTTATGTTGATCAAATTTTACTTGGACAAGAAGACTTTAATTTTACATAAGCAACATAATTTTATTTGAGTAGCATATTATGAAATTAAACCTTACCTAGAAAATATTCAAAAATATATTTTTAATAAAACAGTAACATTTGATTAAAAGAGAGTTCAATTTTAATTAAAGAAGAAAGAAAGACAATGACATGACTACCTACATTAAACTAGTTTCAAATATTGCTATTTGGAACCATAAATTTGATAGATTATAATTTAGCCATTATATTTATACTGTTTCCTCCAATTTTACTGTGGTATAACTGAGAAATAGGAATTGTATGCAATTAAAGTGTATATGACATGATTTGATATATAGGAATACATTGAGAAATGATTATCACAATCAAACTAATGAACACATCTACCACCTCACATAGTTACTTTTGTGTGTGTGTGGTAAGAACACTTAAGATCTACTGTCTTAGAAAAATTCAACTGTACAGTTTTCTTTGAATTTTCTCTTCAGTTCACACTAAACCCAAATGAATGTATAATTCATGTTTTTTAATATTGATTATTATAGTAATGGCTTGATGAAAAAAGTCTAAAACCTTTATCCAAATTCTAGTGAGGTTGATAATGTGACCTTTATTCCTAAAAACAGCCAAATAAATAAATATCAGAGTTATTGTTGTGTCTTATACACAGTTAGCATTTTATAGTCTTCTAATAAATAATTAATATTAGAAGATTTCTGAAGTGTAAGGTATCTTTTAATTAGGTGTCCTATCACTCAAAGAAGGCAAACTGTGAATTATTCCCTAAAGAAAGCTTTCTAGTTGAACTCTCAAGTTTAAAACTCTATTTGAATCAGCATTGTTGTTTCTCTCTATTGAATTTCTTCCCCTTAACTATTTTATATTTTTATTTTGTATTTAAGGAATTTATAAGCATTTCCAATGCTGTAAGGGCTAGAAACCAGCTCTATTTGTTTAAAATCTGGGATATTTCTGTTAATACCTCTAAATTTCCATACAGATCACAAAATCTTGACCATTTAGAAAGACAATGTTAATTTGGCTCTACTTTGTAAGCTTTATTTGTTCAAGGTCTTCTTGATGTTTTGCAAAATCTATGGAAGATAAGATTAAGATTTCTTAAAATTAAACTAAAATGATTATGTTAGTTATCTGTGGGAAATTATTATTGGTGTTATCTCATTGACTATGTTTATTTGAGTAAGAAGCGAAAAAAAAGTAGGACTTACTATAAAGATTAAGTCAAGACATTTAAAAACTTAAATGTTAGCATAATCAAGCTCAATGGCAGAAAGATTTCACAAAATGTTTAGACCTTCCCTTTCAGTAAAACCATACCAGGCATTCAGCTCAAGTAGAGAGTCTGGGAAGATTGGCTTGAGAGAAATGTTCCAGTAAAAGTGGTTCTCAAAACTCCTCTCCTGCAGGATAGGAGCCCTGAGTCTGTCTTATGAGGTATATATTCTACAAAGATATTTAATTCTAGGCAAAAATTTTGCCTATATGGCATGCTTAAGCTTCACTTGATTGCTGCTTATTATCCACTGAGGGCTTCTCTTTTTTAAAATAGGAAGTTATAATCACAAAGACATTAGAAGAGACAATATCAGATCAAAGTTAAGGTTCACTGAACTTTATATGGAGAAGAAGGTAGGATGTGTGATGAAAGGTACATATTTTCAATTGATAATATGTATTCATTCGTTTAATAAACATTTAGAAATTTACTTATGATGAGTCAGGCATTGTGCTTTATAATGTGCACACCAAATAGAAAACACCATTTGCAGTACTAAAGATTATCTTACAGTTCAGTAGGGAAGCTGATATGTAATTCAATGAATACTTTCACTAATTGGTTCTAAGAGTGAGTTATAACAATTATTATGAGATGAGTATTTGGATATAAGGTTATATCTCTATATGGAAGCCTGTTTTTATAAAAATCACAACCATTCAGAAATATCTAAAGAAAAATTAAATATTTTATTAAATGTTTTTTATATATGTGTATAGCTTGTATCTTAAATGAAATATTTTCAAGTTATACTAACTTTGATATCTTAATTACTAAATAATCAGCAGTTATAGGCAAAACAACTATTTCCGCAAATAAAAAATCCCATATATTTGTATCTTTCATTTTCTTCCTCTATCTTGGCCTATGTGTGTGTGTGTGTATATATGCATATATAGAGGCATACACACACACACACACACACACACACACACACACACACACACACACACACATAGGCCAAGATAGAGAAAGACAGTGCAAACAATCTAAAGCAAACACACTGCTATTACCTATCTTTGTGGTTTACAGTTATAGTGCATTTTTAATTTTATATCTTGTTTTATTCTATTTAACATCTGTTAAATGTTTTGCATTGCTATAAAGTAATACCTGAGGATCAGTTATTTATGAAGAAAAAAGGTTTATTTGGTTCATGGTTCTACAGGTTGTACAGGAAGCATAATATTGGCATCTGTTACT